ACTACAGCGGCCTTGTGTACAGATCCAATTGATTTAGGTTTTACTAAGCATATAGATGTGTATATAAATATCGGGGCGATGGCAAACGATACGAAAAGTGCTTGTCTATGGAAATATGGATAAGCTAAGTACAAACCGTAGTCAAAATATTCCTTTGCAGCCCCGATAGTTATATATATATAAATAATTATATATATATTAATGTATATGTATGTAGACTGCGCAAATTTGTTGCTTTGTTATGTTATACGACGTTTCCTTTCGCCCCCAACAACCTTTAAATATGACATCCACATATTTAAAAGAAAACCAAAAAAGAAAACTTTCCCCTTCTATTGTTAACTCCTCCTGCTCGTATATATGTAAACTTAAGCACGAGATGCGAATTTTAAATGCATTTTTCACGTGTGCCAATGCTAAAAAAGACTCATATGTAGTAGACAAAAACAAAAATCACAAATCGAAAAAAATACCCGATCGTAATTGTAAAATTCCAAAAATAATTATATTTTGTTTTAAAACCTTGCGTAAATTGTATCAAATACTGAAATTAAAGAAGAAAACTACAATAATGTTAAAACTATAATGAAAACAGTGTTTTATTTAAAATTATAAAGGTCTAAGGATCTTTGGAGACTGTCAAAATGTCACCCCAGAGCAGGGGCTGTCACATGAAAATAATATACCTTTCTGACATGCATACTATTAAAGCATTCGTCGCTCATCAATAAAATCAGATATTAGACCTATGATAGATCGCAGTATTATAAGATCTGTCGAATGTTGTTATACATTTTAACTCTATATATATTTATTATTTTAGAAAGGTACACCACTGAATATAAATATATATGCATGTATGTATATAGATTTGTGCATTTCAAAAAACATAATTCAATAAATAGAATATATATATAATAATATAAATATGCATTTACATATATGTATATATAGATATGCTAAAAACGATTAAAAGTATTGCATTGAACTTACGAAAAGGGGCAAAACTATTTGGATTTCATGGTAGTTAAGGATTTGCGCGGCGCTGATTGTCGCTGACGCGCCAGGAATGTCTGACCCGAACCCATTAATAAAGCTAATTTCGATTCTACAGCATCGCGATGAGCATTAACGCCCAGTCTATAATAGGCGCTAGTCATTAGCTGCTCCTCCATGGTGCTCATTTTGGTTTTCGACTCCTCCTCAATGACATCGATGCTCTTCTCCAAAATGCTTGCCTCCAGGCCTACGAAATACAAAATAAATAGAGGATTATTATATATAGTTTATATATATATATCCATATAAACCAACCACTAGCGATCCGCGGTTCAATAGTCTTGATCACTTCCTTCGCCTTCTCAAGGCATTTGCGATACTTGACTTCATAGGCCATCAATTCCTGCTCCCGCGTACTCAAAGTTGATTCCAGCTGCGTTATTTTGCACTGCATTGCGGAGTTTTGTGTGCTTGATTCCTCGATTTGCAGGGCTACCCATAGACAAGGAAATCTTGTTAATAGTACATATATTCTGTATATCTATTTGTACACCTTACTCTTTTGTTCATTGAGCTCCATTAGCTGCTTGATTTGTTTGCTTAATTCGTTTCTGTGGTGTTAAGATTATGAAATTTGGTTTATAGCTTATACAATTGTTTGATTGTATTACTCACTCTTTTAATATGGGATCGTCACTCTGTGAGGCATGCGTTAGGGAGAGTATGCGCTCATTGGCTGCCTTCATTTGCTCCCGCAAATGCTCGCAACGTTTGTTTGCATCATCCAGCAGTTGCTATCGGGGAAATGTGGGTACTCAATTAGAAATGATTGTATAAATTGTTTCTATAAAGCTAAGAGACTATGACAAACATGAGCGTCACTGTTAAGGTCTTATATATGTTCACTCTTTGCCATTCATTCATAATATGTTTCTTATACTCTTCTACTAAACTTTACGCTTACACAATCTCATTCTCCATCTTACAACTTCTTATACTCTTCTAATCCCCTGTCCAACTCACCGCCAAAGCCGTTTGACCGCCTTGACCCTCACGCAACGCCTTGTTCTCTGCCTCCAGACGTTGGATTTTGTCCACCATAGCCGCCGGCTGTAGCTCTCGTGACACTGTGTTGCCCGTCAAGCTGCCCGAGTTTGTTGAGAGCTGTCCACACTTTAGCTCATCGAACGCCTCTCGCAAATTATCCCGCTCTTTGAGCAAACTGTCCTTCTCACGTTGCAGTGCCAATACTTTGCTCTCCAAGTTCTTATTGTCGAACTCGAGCTTCACATTTTTGCTGCTCTCATTGTCAAGTTTGGTGTGCAAGTCTTGAATTTCTTTCTTGAAGAGCTCAATTTGACCCTTTGTGTTGGCATAGCGTTTGGCATCCTCTTCGAATTGAGCATTCTGCTGCACATAGTCGGCGCTGCGCTCTTCAAGCATTTTCACATGCTTCTTCAAATCGTTGTACTCCTCGAGCTTCTTCTTGTAGGTCTCCAGTTGCGCCTCGCATACCTTTAGCTTTTCCGTGGACTCACGCAGCACGTCCACCTCGTCTTTGAGAGAAGTCAGCTCTGCGGTGGTTTTCTATGAGTAAATAGAAGTCATTAATTATCAAATATATTTTACATATATTTTAGTCTATTCCACCATTAGCTCATCAATGCGCTGCTGCATATGCAGTATGTCCGCCTCCTGCTGCTGTGCTTTGATTTTCAAGTCTTCACGCGCGCCCTCCGACTGCAGCAGTTCTTCTTTGACCAACTCCAATTGACGTCTGAATGAAAGTTGTGATAATTGAAAAAATTGTACTTTTATAAATGTAAATTCTATGTCGGACAAAGTCACCTCAGCTCATTATAGCGCACAGAGCCTGCCTGTATGGGGCCTAGGGAAACGCCATCGTCCCCAATTGTATTGAGCTCCAGGCGTGCGAATTCCTGTTGAATCTTTTGCAACTCCTGCTGTAAATTATTTTTCTCATCAATTAGGAGCAGCATTTTCTTTTCAGTTTCGAAACATTTTTGGGCCATGGCATCACGTTCCTCCTGTGCTTTAGTATTGCCTTCGAGCATGTTGCTCAAAGAGTTGCGCGACATGGAGCTAACTACGCCGCCCCCTTCGACGCTCTGACGTGTCGATGATTCGAGCTCTTGCAGTGCTCGCATTATATTCGCCTGCAGCTCCTCCTCAAGGCACATTATCTCACATATATACGACTGTTTCTTGGCACAGTTGACGGCACAGCCCAACACCAGCTGTAGCAGGCGCTCCAATTCCGTTAGATCGCACTTCTCTGCTATAGCCTGAACATCCGGCTTGACAAAGTCGGGTTGGAGAGTGTAATTCAAAACATCACTATAGTATTCATAGACGCCCTCAACAACCTTCTTCAGATTGCTCATACGAAGACGCCAATTGCTGCCGACTGCGCTCGATTTGATTTTCGACAGCCACGAATTGGTGAATGATTCAGGTGCAAATTGATTAAGAGCTTGAGCTAATGCAACGCCGTCGGACAGCTCCTCGGCATTTGCGTGCGGTGCATTTAGATTGAGTGTTTTGAACCACTCCAATAGACTGTAATACGTTCCGTTCTGTGCAGACATCGTGTACAATGAACAATTATGATAAAAATGAAACAGAAATTAGAAATTTTCACAGAAAAAATAACACAGCTGTTGCTGCGTAAACAAAACAGCTGCACTGACGATAGCGGTGACAAAAATATCGATATGCTATCGAGAAGTCGATAAGTGTATATTGCATTTAACAACGGGACTCCCGTACTTGATTAAATATCGTTTTGAAGTTAACAAATTAAAGATAACTGTCATTTCAATCTACTGCACATTAAAATTTATTATTTCCCTAATTATTTATTATGTTAAAGTCTATAGCAGCCATTGTGCCATTATTGCTGGCGCTATTTATACACTGTTCCACCAGTTTGAGTTTATCATCGTGTTCTCTTATTTTATCGATTGGCGTCCAGCTTAAATCGTATTCCAGCCTATAGCTGCCCTTGAAGGTTTGATCTGCTGGATGATTCCATTCCTGCAATACATGATATATACATAAAGAATGCCTGTAAATGTATTTGTAAGTATTTACCTCTGGTGACAACATGCTAAAATAGTTCTGTCCTGTGGATCTTTGATAAAGGTGATAAATATGACCAGGTCTCTTAGTGAAATTGCAGGCAGCGCTGTGCAGGGCTTGACTCTCATTGGACTCTTTCAATATGTTCATTGCCTGCGCTTGCAGCATTTTAATCTAAAACATAAATTCTTAATTATAGTTATATATAGCATTTTCTCTATATTTCTGTTACCTGATCGAGAATAACAACCAATTTTTGGTGTGTACTATTTTTCAGCTGCTTATCCGCCGATTGTATTTGCTGTGCAAGATTTATTATGTCTGTTTCATCATGCATAGACACACGCAGCGGATCCAGCTGAAATTGTGGGTTGCGCTCTACCAATTGAGCTGTGTTTAATGAGAAATAAGATTACTTCGTAAAATCTACTCTTATCAATGAAATACACACACACAAACATGAACACCTCATTCATTTCTATTTACTTCTATTATAATGGTATTTTCCTTACCCTTCTTTATTGATGTCTCATAAGTTAACTGCGTATCCATTGTGCAACTTCTTTTCATTACACAAACAGTAAATAATGTTTAAAAGGGAAATTGCCAAATTCGGAAAGATAGGACGTGTTTACAACCAAATTTACGCAAACAAATAATAACATGTGTTCTATGCGATATCTATCGATTGGTCTATTGCAGTAGTCGATACGCGCTATTGATCAAAATATTTGATTTTTCGCTATACAGTGGTGTCTTGAAAATTAGGACACCTCGGTTTTATGAATTTTTTTAGAAATTTAAAAACATGCAATTTCATTACAAAATATATTTATTTATTTTATTTTATTATCATTTTTTTTTTACAACTTTTTGCTTATTTTTGTATTATTAACTAATTAAGTATATGCTTTTCCATGAAAATATAAAAATAAATGATTTCACAAACATTTCTAAACATTTAAGTTGCTCAAGTTACTTTAAGTACAGAACAATTATGAACATTTATATAGGCACATAAAAACTATATAGTTTATAACTATAGGTTGGCTAGATATAAAAACAATTATTGTTTCAGGTCTTCGGGCTTTTCTTTCTTGCTGTTTTCATAGGTCTGATAAAAATATAAATATTATATGAAGTCCAAAACGAAAGTATTTAATTCTTTACCTGTTGTGCAATTTTTAGTAATTGTTCAAATGTTGTTTTGCCCGTCTGCATGACCATGTCGTAAAATACCTTGCTCTCCGACTTTGTCAAGAGCTCAAAAGGCGAACCGACCTCCACAACATGTCCAGCATCTAGGACCAAAACCTTATCCAAATCCATAATAGTGTGCAGCCTGTGGGCTATGGTAAGTACAGTGCAGTCCTTGAACTTGCTTCTAATGGTGGTCTGAATCAATGCATCCGTCTGCGGATCCACATTGGCGGTGGCCTCATCCATGACCAGTATACGATTCTCGCGGAGAATAGCTCGAGCCAGGCAAATCAATTGACGTTGACCCACGCTGAAATTGGAGCCACCTTCGGAAACGTTGCTCAGCAAACCCATTGGCAACTCGCTGATCTCCTGCTTGAGATGTACCTGAATATTAAAATTAGTTAATATTTATATACATAATCTAATGTTCCATCATGCGTACCTCTTCCAGAGCTTGCCACAGCTTGGAGTCCTCATACTGCTCAAAGGGATCCAAATTATAGCGTATTGTGCCAGAGAACAAGACTGGCTCCTGTGGTATAATCGAGATCTTGCTGCGCAGATCGTGCAGACCCTTCTCCTCCGTGTCCCGCCCATCGATCACTATGGAACCATCGTTGTACGACAGCCGGAACAATGCGTTAATCAGTGAGGATTTGCCTGCGCCCGTGCGACCCACAATGCCAACCTTTTCGCGTGGCTCAATGATGAAATTCAATGACTTGAGTATATACGGAGCTTGAGGATCGGGCGCATAACGCAAACTCAAGTCGTCGGCCACAATTTGACCAGCTGCTGGCCAACTGGCCGGCGGTTTCTTCTCTCCCACCGCATTAAATTCTCCCTCAGCTTTTAGGCTTCGATACTCAATCACTCGCTCCACCGAGGTCATCGAGTTCTCCAGTTCGGCCGACTGTCGCATGCCCCACTGCACCATGCCAGTCATGGACATGGCCTGTGTTATGGCCAGGCCAATTTGTCCCGGATTCTCGGGCGGATTGACAAAGTTGTTGAGAATTATAATCAAAACGTAAATCACGCAGAATAAATCCAAATAGTAGCCAAAGGCTCGGCTGGTGGAGAGGAATGTGTAATAACCAATGGAATGTTTGTCCTGGTAGTCATCGTACTCGGCTATCAGCATTCGCTGAGCACGCATCGCTCGTATGGTGGGCAGTCCATTCAAAGTGGCACCAAAGTGCGAATACATCGGCGAACGAGCCACCGCCTCCAGACGCTTCACATCCCGGGATGTGCTCAGATAGAAATTGCGCAGATAGTAAAAGGAGAGCAGCATGGCCAGCGTGTTGATCAGATACCACGGATTCGTAACACATAGCACCGTTATAATTCCAGCCAGCGTAAGGAATACCTGGATGCAGTCCAGCATGACAAGGGGCAGCACCTCATCCACCTGACCCATGTCCATGGCGAAGCGATTCAGTATGCGACCCGACGGATTCGTATTGAAGAAATACATGGCTACTCGCGTAATGCTACGGAACATGGAGTTGTGCAACTGCGTGGACGAGTGCATTGCCATGTTGAAGAAGAGAAGCGTACGCATTAGAGCGAATATGATCAGCGTAATATTGATGGCCGCAAAGTAGTAGATGTCCGAGGACGAGGACGAGGACGAGGACGAGCTGTTCTTTACCCTGCAAATAAATATAAATATGTAATTACATATGTATGTATGTATGTATATAACAGATAAGTTGATAATACAAATTCAAATTAACAATTCTGTTAGTTAACAGTTACTAAAATTATTTAAAGGCGGGCTAACAAATAACATTAGATAGAGCATATGTACATATGTAATAAATATGTATGTATGTGAGGCTAAATTGATATGATCAGAAAGCCGCATTGCTCAGGAATAATTTATCTTCAAAGTATTTTCTCTAAACATTTCCTCCAAGAATTTCTTCCAGCTTTTTTCTCTGAGTATTTCCCCTAGGCATTTTCTGCTAGAATTCCTTCTAAGTCTTTCCTCCAAGTATTTCCCATAATAATTACTTCATAGTGTTGCCTGTAAGCATTTCTTCCAAGTCCTTAATGAACGAAGATTAAATGCTTACACTTCACTCCACTTGACACTTGCACAGCTGAACCCCACTGCACTTGGGCGACTGAAGAAATGCTGCAGCCGCTGCCCTTTATATAGGGCCACTTTCACTCAATCACCGAATTACGCTCGAATGGTGAGGCCGACGCCAGGTAGAGATCGTTGCCATCGAACTTTTATTGACCAATAGGAATCCTCTCTGCTGCTGCTAGCAGTCTGGCTTCGTTCTCTCTATATATATCGAGAATACTGCAGCATATATACAATTTATATGATCCTCTGTAGTTCTTCTTCCTTTGATTTTGTTTGTCACACTGAGAGGCAGACAGAGAGACAGAAGGACTGTGAGATAAAGAGAACGAAGCCAGACTGCTAGCAGCAGCAGAGAGGGTTCCTATTGGGCAATAAAAGTTCGATTGCAACGATCTCTACCTGACGTCGGACTCAACTATAGAGCGTAATTCGGTGATTGAGTGAAAGTGGCCCTATATAAAGGGCAGCGGCTGCAGCATTTCTTCAGTCGCCCAAGTGCGGTGCAGTGAAGTGTAAATATTTAATTATCGTTCATTAAGGACTTGAACGAAATACTTAGAGGCAACACTAAGAAGTAATTATTATTGGAAATACTTCGAGGAAACACCTAGAAGGAACTCTTGCAGGAAATGCTTAGGGAAAATACTCAAGGGAAAAGCTAGAAGAAATTTTTGGAACAAATGTTTAGAGAAAATAATTAAACTATAAATTATTCCCGAGCAATGCGGCTTTCTGATCATCTTAATTTAGCCTCACATATTTATTCCACTAGCACACAACAGATTACATATGTATATTAAGTGCTGTCATTTAGTTTAAGTGAAATATAACATACATACATATATTTTGCTAATTAAATAAATTAGTACTTGTCTGTATATCGAAATTATTATTGACTAGTCAGTTAAAATTGAAGTTCTTCCTCATTTCTAATAAGAATTTGATGAGGCACTATTACTCACCAGTAGGAGAGGAAGTAATCGCCCCAGGATGCCATCACTTGTGTGCCCAGACATAAAAAGACCACGAACAGAAACATCAAGCAGCCGCAGCCGGCAGCGAAGTATTTTTGATACATTCCCAGGCCAATTTTGTCGGACGAGCGGGATTCCTGAACTTCCTTTGGGCGCTCCTTTGCTGCCATCAACGAATCGTTCGCACTGGAGTCCATGGTGGAGAGGCTGGTGCGGCTCTCGACGCTATTCTGGCGTGAGTACGAGTTCGAGATTTCGTTGGCATCACCTGCACCAGCTGAGTCCACGTCCGCCTCCGCCTGCTGCTCCTCTTCGTTCTCCTCGGGCTCACGCTGTGCCAGCAGCTGGGCAAAGTCCTGTCCGCTCTTGAGCATGTGCTCATAGGTGCCTATGTCCAAAACGCGGCCCTTGTCCATGATCACAATCAGATCGGCGTGCTCCAAGAACTGCAGCTGATGCGTGACCAGGATGACGAGCTTCTTGCGCAGAAACTCTCGCATGCATTTCTCGAACAGATGTCGCCCCACGTGCGTGTCCACAGCACTTAGCGGATCGTCGAGCAGATAAACATCGGCCTTGCGATAGACAGCGCGTGCGAGGCTAATGCGCGCCTTTTGTCCGCCAGAGAGCGAGACTCCCCGTTCCCCCACAAGGGTCTTGTCGCCCTGATCCAACAGCTCAAAGTCTCGCTCCAGTGCACACATCTTGACCACCGTTCGATAACGCTGCCTATCCAGCGGCTGGCCAAAGAGTATATTGTCGCGCACGCTGGCACAGAATAGCCACGGCTCCTGTGATGCATAGGAGCAGCGTCCGTTCAGCTTCACCTCGCCCGCCTCCGCGGGCAGCTCACCGAGAATGGCCTGGATGAGACCGGATTTGCCGGCGCCCACTGGTCCAATGACAGCGACCAACTGCTGGCTCCTCAGTTCCAAATTGATGTCATCCAAAATGGGCTCCCCATGCTGCGTATCCCAACGTGCTCTCAGCTGCTTGATCTCAACACCAATATCCGAGCTCAACTGTTGCTGATTGCCATTCGCTAGTAGTTTCTTGCTCTCCGCCGCCTTTTCCTCCTCCGGCTCCTCCTCCAACATGCCCACATCTGTCTCATCGCGCATCATAAAGACTGTTATGCGGCGCAACGAGACCAACAGCTCCGCCACTTGAGACATGCCACTGGGAAAGAATTTGCTCATGGTCCGTCGCAGGACATTATAAAAGGCCGTCACACAAAATGCCTGCTCCGCCGTGACCTGACCTCCGGAAAGCACATAGGCCAGCAGGCTGGCAAAGATGGCCAGGCGTCCCAGGGTTATCTCAAACGACAATAGGATGCCGCGAATATAGTTCACCTTGCGTATGACATTCATTTCGCTGACTCGCGCTTTGGCGATCATCTGCTCAAACGGCTGCTCCCAGGCGTACATCTTGATCGCCTGGATGCCGGCTATGATCTCGTTCATCATTCGGACACGTCGATCCGTGCGCAGCGCTGTGCGCAGGCGCAACGTCGAGGTCAACCGGCTCAGGTACGTTTGCAGCGGCACATAGAGCAAAAGTATGGCAATGCCATAGAAGGCGGCGACGCCGATCTGCGCATATAGGAAGTACGAGGCGATCAACAGCTCCAGTGGACCGAGCCACAGGAAGTGCATGTGGATCAGGGCACGATCAAAGCGACCCAAGTCATTGGACACCAGATTCACAACCTGTCCCGTTGTTGTGCCTCCCAGAGCCGTACGGCTCAGCCGCAAGCCCTTCCGATAGATGGCGCTGCTGACGGCCACTCTCATCTTCATCGCCAGATGCATCATGTGCATCATAAACGGATGGAACAGCAGCACGCTGAACACAGTGCAGGACACCAGTCCAAGGCCATAGAGCTGGGCCTTAAGACTGCTGCCATTCCCATATAAGGTAAACTCGTTTATAAGACCGGCCAGCAGCAATGGAATGGTACCTCTGCAAA